CCTACCGGGGCCAACGGGTTGATTAATAATGCTTAGTGACTTAGATTCCATTGACTTGACTTAGATCCATCCATCTACATTGCTTCAATTAGAACGGTGATGTCCAAATACCATCCCCAGTACTGACTATGGAATCAAATGTTTGTTACATTTAATTAAAACTCCGCATTTTATATGCCTCCACTGACCCAATTGATTCACTCGGATATGTATTGCCTTTGAAATATTAACAAGCGCGTATCCGGGGTTTATTTTAGCCGGATCCCAGTGTAAGCAACTAATTATCCCTTTACGCTGTTTACCTTTAAAACTTCGTGAAAAAAAAATTCTTTCACGCAAACAGAGTACGACAAAATTATCTGACAAAGGAATTTGTAACGATATGTATTTTAAAGGTTAACAACTAAATGCTTATATATAGAATACAATATAATTTACGTTTATACAAACTAGCATATATATATATATATATAACATTCCTTAAGTGTATTTTTGCATATCCTCTGTCATATTTATTTTATCTCCATTATTGAGTGAGAATTTGGTACTGTCTATAGTTTACGCGAGTAGTACACATTTAAATAAAACACTTTAACGGTTTAAAACGCGATATATTAGTTAAACTTATTTGAAAATGATTTTTAACTTCGGCCCGACGTTTCGGATGCTTTGCAGCACCCGTGACCACGGCTATTTCAAATAAGTTTAACTAATATATCGCGTTTTAAACCGTTAAAGTGTTTTATTTAAATGACAATTTGGTGTCTTAATTTGTTATATAAAAAAAAATATTTAGCACAATATTTCGGCAGTGTTATTCAAAGATGATTAAACGTTAAAGCAATATGTTTAACCAATAACACACACAAAAACCTTCAAAATGATGCGTCTGGTGAAGTGATGAAGCTTAGCTACAGATGCTTTTAAATGTTGTTATCTGTTGTCTTATATACGTCTCTATAATTTGACCATACTATAGTTTGTTAGTTGTAAGCAAGGGCTGTCTTCTGGCGAATTAGGGGGTATAAACGAAATGTCTTACTGATGAAATTGCTCAGTTTATCTGTTTTTATATATATATATATATATATATATATATATATTGTATTATTTATATTAATTATTCTATGAACACATTAATGAAAACTATTTTAAACAAATTTAACCACACATATTAGTTTCTGAAATTTGAAGTACCACCTAATAGTTTCTGCTAAGGTCAATAACCTCATTGTATTCTATGGTACAGTGTAGTGGCCTTGTAAGTAAAGTTGGCATTAAAGCGAGGAACAATAAACTACCGCGCGTTATCAACTTGATTTAAACGAGGACGGCGACTAAAATATTAAGCTGGGGCTGAAACACTTGAAAATATGCTTCCTAACTTTTAAACGGGAGACGATATTTCTTTAACGTTTGAAATTAATTGTTCGAGCGCATCCTTTTGTTTTAGACACTTGTTTCGAGAATGCATTTTTGTTTCTGCACCTTAGATAAAGGCATTAAAAATAATAACCGCATCGAGACACCTATACGAATATAATAAGGCTGAAGATCTATTTATCGAGTAAGGCTAACACCACGCTGCGACCAATAGAAGCGAAAAAGCAGAGGGAAATGTGAAAAAACCGGGATAAGTTATTTAATTTTAAGGACTCTCGTTACGTGCGCAGTTCTAGAAACAAAAAATACATACTGTTTATAGTTTACGCGAGTAGTACACATTTAAATAAAAAACTTTAACGGTTTAAAACGCGATATATTAGTAAAATTATTTGAAAATGATTTTTAACTTCGGCCCGACGTTCCCCCACCCCCCGTGACCACGGCTGCTGCAAAGCATCAGCAGCTAAAAAAATGTCTGCGACACATATCTATCATTTAATATAACTATTCAATAATCCAATTTTAGGTGGTCGGATGAGGATTTTGTTATATCTATATAAAATTTTAAATGAGTCACACTATAATATTATATTGCATTTATTTATTCAGAAATGGTATGGTATGTAAAACTAATACAACAACATTACTTATGATAGGATGTACTACATAGCTATAGTTAGCTGGTTCATAAGTTTTTGTATTCATCAAACAAATCCTGCGGTGTTTATAATTAATAAAATTAAATAATAAAAAACACATACATACATAAAATAAGACTTATGTGTACATTGTCAGAAGCATTTCATTAACAAGTTTCACTAAGAACACAGTATATACAAATAAAACTTCTGTCTGTCTTTTCATATACAAAAAACAAATTCTTATTTTTCTGTAAGCACGAAAATAAATCAACATTAATTATATTAGGTTACTTATCAAGGTTACCTTTATACGTAAGGGTGCTGAAGCTGTTATGTGATGCGCGAAACATCAAAATAGAAAATATAGTAATCTCATATAAGATACTATAACAAAGTTTATTGCACTCCAACTGACATTATATTCAAAACTCCTTTACATTTTTATAACTCAGCAGCAAAGTAGAATAAAGCAAATTTATGGAGGAAGCACTCTGTGAAAATTACCTATTTCATCTCGAAATGAGGACGGTACATATAAATATTCAGTGATATCACTAGAATACCTGTTTCACTTATTGTATTTCTTCTAAGAAATTTAAATTTCACTACAGCTCTCATAGCAATTTCTACGCGCGAAAACCGTCATTCCATTATCTATTTTATTTTTATATATCTCTTTAGTAAATATTTTACAACACGGGAATTTTCTATTGTTAAAATTGAAAGAGTTGTCATAACCATGTATTGGTAATTATCGTCAAGATCGAAGACTTTCGCGACGCTATCGTTACACGTTACAACAGCGGAAAAATGCGCGGAAAACGGGGAATATAATTCCCTTTTAGGGGGTTCCGATTTGTACGCTGCCAAAATGGTTCAAGATACCAAAAAATGATGTACGAAAGAATGAATCTTCTTGCAAGAACGACGGGATGCGACCGACGTCATGGTCAGCTTAAATTCAGAAAGATGAAGAGGAGATTTGGATGCTCAAACTATTTTACGCGGACGAAAGCGCTGACACAGCTATTCCAGGTGTAAAACTCAATTGACAATATATAAGTTTCATCTTCACCTACCCAATTTTAGTTGTCGTGGACATGTTTTTCATTATATTATTTTTGTTCTCATATTCAAACACTTCGTCCTTGTAGGGTTGTAATAGCCGTCATATTACTTGATTATCTAAAGTGTCAAGTGAAAAACATTCCTAATTTGAAAAAACAAGGAAAAGTTTTTATGCGTTCCGCTTGGCCGAACAATAAAGTAATGAGTAAGTTGACCGGAGCCGGCGTCAGAGAGGCGACAGTTATGACACTCTTATCTGGGGGGACACGCGATGTGTTCCAACCCTTATATCGCACCTTTTCATACACTTTTAAAGGTGATAAAAGAAAAGCACACTTAAAGGACTTAACGTTCGTTGCTGTAATGGTAGCAAGGTATGGCTAATCAACTCATAAATTTGTAATTTTTCTAAAACATTTTGCACTTCGTCTGGGAAATTAATAGGGTAGGAATAATAAAATTCTGTCTACAAATGAAAAAGCTGCTAAGTTTAATGTCCTTTCGGCTTCAGTCTGTGGATTTCCGAATATTCAAAGCCAATATAGGTCAACAGCACATCTTGTTTCGATATTTAATGGCTGGGATAATTAATATACCACCAAGCGAACCCCATGCTTGTCTATCATAAAAAATGGTAGCAAAAGCCGTCAAAGATCGCTCTACTGTCGCGAACACTAGATTTTTTAAAACTAACATGTCATGGAATCATTTAAACCCAATATGCCGATATTTATCTCTACAAGTAGGTATTATCTGAAGTTTAAAAGAGAAACTAATATATAATAAAACATATTTTACTGTAAAATGTTTTATTATAATAAGATTAGTATAATCTAATTCATAGCGATTTTTAACAACGGCGATACCGTTTCTTTATAAAAACTATATGTAGCCACATAACAATAATTTTTGTTTATATCTATGTATCTGAGATGTTACGATGTATACTCCATTAACTATATATATTTTTAAGATAATTCGGGTCTTAGGATTATTTATACTCTTTCCCATCCATTGTTTCTAAATATCGTACTATGTTTACGCGAGTAGTACACATTTAAATAAAAGACTTTAACGGTTTAAAACGCGATATATTAGTTAAAATTATTTGAAAACACGGCCACGGGTGACCACGGCTGCTGCAAAGCATCCGTGGTCATCAAAACGTCGGGCCGAAGTTACAAATCATTTTCAAATAAGTTTAACTAATATATCGCGTTTTAAACCGTTAAAGTGTTTTATTTAAATATTGTACAGACCAAATTTGTTGAACCTCCTTGTTAGAACAAAAAGCCATGAAATGTACCAAATAGCATGTTCTGTGTCCTCAGGGCTTTAACACCTCACATGTTTAACGTGATTAAGAAGTCGCAGAGGTGGTCGTGGCGATAATGAGAAGGCCGTTCAAAACATTATGACCATTTCTCCCATACAAATATTGATTAACCTTGGCGCATAGCGAACAAAATTTTTGTTGATTCCGAATGAATAATTTATGAATTAGATTTAATTACCTCAGATAAGTGTTAAAGCCACTTAGTTATCACGCTATGTTAGTGATAAAAAACCTTTCCAATTTAGGGTTGATTTGAACACGAAAGTGTGTTTACAATTTTATTGTTATGATCATTTAAAATATGTAATAGAATAGTTTAACTAGCCTTTTTGCCTGTGGTGTAATGCATTGTCATTGTATTTTAGTGAACAGTTCTGTTCATAAAAGGGTAGATCCAAACATCCCGGAGAATATGTACTTCAGACTATCTTTAAATTTATTAACTACACACAATCAGTTAATATACTTCTACTTAAAAAAAAAATCTTCTTATTTGCTTTGTATTATAACTTATACTATAATCATACTTAAAAACATAAAAAAGAAAGAAGTCTGCTTAGTTATAGTGTATGGGCTTTTTTGACGGATTTGCGTTCGTTAGCCCGGGCGCCTCTAAAACTTACCGGATGTGTTCGCGGCTGGACCAAGGATCAAACACAGGGGGCATCGTCCACGTCCACGGTTTGGACAATCTCAGTATACCTAGTAGTGGGGTCTACCAGGTAGCTAAATATTCAAATCTATAAGCTACTTCTGCAAAATCAACAAGGGAATATATCCGCATCTTCAGTTAAAATTGAATTAAGTCTAAAGTCAATTGATATAGGACGTTTCTTTTCAGGAGTTCGCAATTAGAAATTATCTTCCTCGTCGTTCTATAGCTAGATCAAACGCTTTAAGGAAACGTCAAATGAATTGGGCCCTCGGAGTCGCAAAAAGAAGACAACGCTTCCGATTCGCAGCAGGAGTTCAAAGGGCGACTCATTAAGTGACGGGCAACGTGTAATCAGCTGCCGGCGATTAAGACGTACAAACTAGAGCCTCAGACAACAGACGTGGATCTACGAAGAGTTTGTAGTTGGATGTGCTATGTGTTGACAATTAATTTTACTTTTTCGGCTGTCGTTATTGAGAATTAAAATTATGACGATCAAACAGCTAAAACCCTGAAATAGCTTTGAAAAATTACTAAAAAAGCCTAATTCATTTTAAATTTACCTTTCAATACTTTTATAAAAATATCTGTTTATGGTAGAACATAAAAAAAGGTGTTAAGTAGATTTTCAACTAACATTTGTTAATTCTTGTAATATTACGTGATATTTTGAGAAACTTCTTAGGTATGATCTTAATTGCTTAAGCTGTATAAGAGAAAATGATTGTTACTGTTTGATTTTTGTTTTGAATCAGTTTTGGCAGGATTTAAAGTGCATTTTTGAATTTATTAAGATTACCATGACACTGATAGTAAGATGCATTAGAAATGGGTCTCGAAAGATTTTGGTCTTTATTTTTCTTATCTATCCTAATATTATAACGCTGAAGTGTTTGTTTGTTCGCTATTCTGAGAAACTACTGTTTAGGATTGAAAAATGATTTACGTGTTGGTTGGAGCATTTATCGAGGAAGGCTTTAGGCTAAAAAACATCACGTGTACACACTGTGTTTTTACCTTTTATATATTTTTTGAGTATCTTACCCAAAAAATTTGTAAAACATAAAAAAAAATCTAAAATCTGTTACAGTAAAAGTTTATCTTTTAAAATTAACTTCCTAGAACGACATAGCTAGTGTTATTATGTAAAAGCAAAGTCAAGATAAGATGCCTTTAATCCCTTCCGAAACAAGAAAACGCCGCATCCAATCATGCTTGATACGCTGCGTGTCCTCTTATTTACCGAAAACTTAACGCTTTAATTCACTTATTTTTGTTCTAGCCCGTAGTGGTCGGCCGCACGCGATCTCAGTCAAACGTCGCCTTTTTGATAACAGCCTTATAACAAATGGCGAACGTATTTTATCCGACCTTCCTAAATCAGGCTTACGTGCCTATTAGATAAGCTTATGAACCTATATTTCTGAAAGAACTATTATACAGTAATTTACTGTGGCGACACGTCCCACCCGACGCTATTGATATAGTATTTTTTGAAAGGCTGGCCTATAAAGATAAACTCACGTTAATGTCAATAATAAACGCGAAGCCTCAAAGTATGTATAGTTATATTTTTACTTACCAGCAATGAGTTGGTTCTTAAATTTATATGCTTTTTATATAAAAATGAAGAATCGCTAGATGGCGCTAGCGTAGGAGGTCTGACTTTCACATTAGGGACAACCACTATCTTCAGTCCCGCTGTGATCACAGATATCGGGCAGTATTAGTTAACTGATATATTTTAATAAACCGTTTAAACGTTTTATTTAAACATTAAACAGTCATTGGAAAATTACAACGACACATTTAGACATATATTTACGAAACTAACGCTAAACAAATAGGAACACTTCAATTAAACTAATTGTATTGAAGCTCAAATTGACTTTTATATTATTTGTATACAAATCTCTTTTATGAAATTGAGCTAACAAATCCTAAATGGCACGTTGGTTAAACTAACGTCACAGAGCGCCGTGGATGCCGCCGTTAGCCCAGCCCGTGTCGGTAATGTATTTAAATGTAATTACATTTTAAATTTATATACTGCATTGGAAAAACAATTTAAAAAAAATACCTGTTTGTAAAAAATATTTAAATTTTTAATCCCACAGTATTCCAAGTATTGTTGAAATAAATTCATCTATGAATCGGTACTCAAAGTTCAATAACAATTAATAATAGTTCTCCATTCATTAAATTTCCAAGTGCAATAAAATTTACCGACGAAGCGAACCATTTAAATTAGGCCCGATAACTTGAAAACTGAATGAAAAGGATTTAGCCAGGAGTACACCAATTAGTTTGCTGTTATTTTTCCATTCCGACCGACGAGGAAATTGGGTCACAATCGATCAAGGTAATTTCGCGAAACACAAGTTGACTTGCCTCGTCACTTATTTACCACTTTTTCAACTGCTTTGACCAACTTGAAGCCCTAATGAAAGTTAACGCTATAACATGCGAAATGTTACGTTATTTTTAACTACGGCCCGATATGAGGCAAAAAATTAAAATAAAAAACCGGGAAAAAAAAATTTTTAAAAGGGGGGGGCACCCCCACAGGGAAAAGGGAAAAAAAAAAAAAAATAAAAAAGAAGGGGAAACGCTGGCTTACCATTGGATTTTTGTAATAATATCTAAGCTAGGCTTGTACTTGTGTGTACATTTAACTAACTTCTATCTAAATAATTAGCAACTATATATAATTCAATAATGTAATCACTTAAAGGACGCAGACGCAAATAATACGTCTGCAAATATTATAATATCCCATAAAGTTAAGAGCTCTAATTACTAAAACGCATTGTACAGTACTTCACATTTCTAAAGCGACCCTCCCTTTATCCTTTGAAGGATAAACTCAAATGATTGATTAGCTGAAGGTAATTGTTCGGATGTTTGTTCCAATCGTTCCACCCGAGACAATGGATTTGAAAAGGCACTCAATTTGCTTTGCGACTCGGAAACTTGAAAATAATTGTAATTAACGTAACGTTAATTCTAGTGTTTTCTTTCCATTTCCATAACCCCTTGACGAAATTATAATTGACAGTGGACTTGAAAAGTAAAGTTTAGATATATTCGTAGTAACAATTTAGCAAGGTGAATAAACGAAAATTTTAATTAAGTCAGCCTTTGAGACATTAATTTATATTTGAAAACTTTATTATTTTTTACATGTTATTGCACATGAAGGTACTATATAATGTAAAAATCGAAATTGTTTTCAATTTATTTTCGATTTTTAAATTACGTTAATGTATAGTTGTTAATTGTATGAATAGAATTTTTTTGGGCATGCAAATTTGTTTCAAGACATATAGTGTAAAATAATGTTTTTAGATCTTTTAAAGATTTTTTGCTCTTATTCTTGTCATAGCGTATATTTTATACCTCCGTCAATAAAACACAAAAAAAAACAATTCGAACCAGTAGTTCCTGACATTCAAAAACAAAGTCTTTAGCTATATATATTATAGATTAAATTTTGAGAACAATCTATGATGTGTGCAGAATACATGATGTGTCAATCATGTATTCTGTACATATCATGTCATGTGTTCTGAGGCATCCTTTTACCTCCATCTCGTCCGCAGCCTTTTTTAAATTGCATACAGTTAGCTCATTACCCCTGGGATATTTGCATTTGGAAACAACGAGTTTTATTCCGTTTCCGCCGATAGGTAAGATTTCTTTTTTAAATTATTCATCCGGCAGACTTCCTCACTCTTAATAGCCAATTCTGGGACTGGGTGCGCACTTTTATATGTCCTGGGGACTAGAATCGAGCTTGGATTAACTGTAAAAATCACGTTCTAATTTTATATTAATGAAATGCGAAATAGAACCAAACGCGATGAATAATAGTACATTTTAAAAAACGCGAGTAGTACACATTTAAATAAAAAAATATTACCGAGACGACGGACGGAGTCTCTTCGTGACCACGGCTGCTGCAAAGCAACAAACTCCCAATTAAAAATCATTTTCAATATTTAAATAGTTTAATAGTTTTAGTAATTTTTTTAACTGAAATTAACGACCTTAAACAGTAAAATAAGAAACAAAATACTTTGGACAAGGTAATACATAATTTAGTTAGTTAAATAAAATTATTGAATTATTTGGATAAATATAAATACATATATCTAATAATTGGCGTCGTATTCAATATTCTATCAAAATCGCAAAGAAATTTGTTTGTAAGGCCGTTCACTACAGTACTTTTATGCAGTAAGCACTTTTTTCTTTGATATTGTTTAACCTTGTTTGTACAATTGACTACACCGAAGTTTTCAACCACCCATAAACATAAAAGAGAGAATGTGGAAACCTTTTTTAAGTCGGTTAAAAATCCATTACGTTATGCTATTGCTGATTTTCTCATAGATCATATTAATATTTATGCAAAATCGCTTTTCATACCTATTATCTCGTAATGAAAATCCTCGTCACATCAAAGTACAGCATGTTCGTATTTTTTTAAGGTAATCTGAAGGGGGTCATTCAAATTTAAATTTTCGTTCTCTCGTGCGGTCCCCAGGGCAGGGGCGTCTACGATGGGGGGTGAAACGCTAATAAAGTAAATTAAAGATTAATAATATATTGTCTAAATACAGGCTTCGAGGGATACGTGTATGCAAATTTGTTGAACCCTCTGCGAAATCAAACACAGCTGGGCGGGGTTCCATTATTGATGATGTCGAGACAGCATTGTTTCTTTACGCTGAAATTGAATAAAAAATTTCAATTCCGATAGAATAGGTCTGTTTTCATACAATGTTCAAACTGTGGATTTAAAAAATTACACCACCCTCACATACTGAACGATTCTCTATTTGAACGTACATCTGTGTCCGATACACTGATTTAAAGTCATGGGATATGAGACAACGTCGGATCAGAATAAGTTATTGTTACACGGGGTTTCGTACTCAAGACGTCACATCACCCTAGACGGCAAGTGGAGGCGGTTGCGCTAAAAAATAAACTATTTAAAACCAACCAAACGCGAAATATATTTAATTAAATTAACAAACTATCTTTAATTAAATAAAACTACGGCTTGACGGCGATTCGGTTACTGTCACGATGACGCCTGCAAAGCGTCCGAAACGAACATTATATAAATTAAAATAAATACAAGTATAAATTTAGAGTCAAATATGAAATAAACTAAAAACCTATTTAGTGTTTTAATTTAGATATAAGCTAATTAAACTATCCTTTAACTTTATTTAACACATTTGTAAATAACAAGCACACTTTATTTAATTACCTATAAATGTTAGCCTTTCCGACTGGTAAATTCCAATAATTCGAAGAAA